ACTTAAATAGGTAGACGTTCATGTGGGTCAGTTATCCAAGATCTTAGTTTTTTTTTGCGCACACATTTATTTAAGAAAGTATCAATGATTCATATGACTTTGCTAATAAAATCTCGATGTCAGCGGAAAACAATGGATAATGAACTAAATTTTGTAGTCCATGGTGCTTCCTATGGTAGCTTCACGATTAGTCTGATAAAAATAGAAGAACCGTTTTAGTTTCCATTGTAAAAGTGATGTTATTGTTTTTTATTTATTATTATTTTTTAAATATAATTGTATTTTAAATTGTTTTTAATACTATTGTTTACCAAGTTTCTTTACTAGTTGTATAAATTTTAATAATTTCATAGAGTTTATCTCTTTACATGCCCATAATAACGTGGGAATTAAAATAATTTTTTTTTTTTTTTTTTTTTTTTGTGAACAATTAGTATCAATTAATAGTGCACATTTCGAATATTCTAAAGTTTTATACGAGTTTATGTAGTGATGTAAAACATTTACTAACAAGAAAGTGTTTTGAATTTAGTGAAGCTTCATAGTTTAAACGATAAGTCGCCGGCAAAGATTAATAAAGCTATATCTTGTAAATCATATAATTAAAGTAATTTGTAACTGTTATTTAATACGTAAGAGCGTATTGACAAATTATTAGCATACATTGGGCAGTTAATATTCAAGGTATTCGCACATTATTCTTCCAAGCTTATTTTAACTTGTAATAGGTAAGAAATATTCTCTAAATAAATAGATATTCGTGTATGTGCTTATCGGTTTTTTGTATATATAATACACAGTCTGTGTATTTCAGTAATAAATATTGAAATAAGATTATGAAGAAAATTAATTTTAATAATATTTACGTTTAAATTGAGAAGCAGATGAGAAGAAAAATTTTCAAAATATTTTAATAACTCAATTTTTTTATAAATTATTCTTTATTAATTTTACTGTTCTTAATTATATTAAAACATTTTATACGTAATAATTATGTATATAAAGTTATAATATACGCATTATTGTAATAATATCGTAACATGTTTTATATTAAACAAATAAATAAATTATGCACTGTAATAATATTTTGATGTATTTTAAAATCTTCATATAATTTTTCATTCAATATTTTCATATTTTTATTTGTACTGAAAATATTTCATTCGATTTTTCGTTGAAATTTGTAATACAACATAAAAGAATGTTTTATTCATAATAAAAAACATTGCGAAAATTAAGTATTTTTTTCTTGACGCATTTCGTAATACAAACATTAATTTCCTTTTAATAGACAATTAAATTATTAAATAGTTTATTATAAAATAATAATAATTATTAATGTATAGATTATCTTAAAAGTAATTGTATTTATTAAACTATTGTATTATTTATCAAATTGAAAAAAAAAAATTATTTATTAATAATGAAAAGTATGCTAAATATTTAATTGAAATATTTCATCAATCACATATATGTTAGTTTTTTCATGAATAAAGAAATGAGAAAATTCATTAATAATTAAATAAATAAATGTATATGTATAGTATGAATATTAAATTCAAGGGAAGATTATACAAGTTAATAGTATGAATATTATAAAATTTTCTGTAATAAATATAGTTAATTACACACACACACACACACACACACACACACACACACACACACAAATTTATGGTTATACTAAACATTTTTTAATTCAGCAAATAAATATATACAATTTTCTGCATTTGCAAAGAAAAAGGGGAATATTAAACATTTCTTAATATATTTCATATTCTCTCAATTAGTAATTTTAACTCTATAAGCATTAAAAAAAAAACTTCAATTTATACATATTCAATTTTTATTATTCACATTTAGCCATATTAATCATTATATTCGTTGATGGTGAAAATGAAATCTTTATTCATTCATCTATTGAAATGTTTTTGAAAATACGTAAAGTTATAATTTATAGTAGCCAATTATAATGATTCTATATCGTTATGTAATAATTAAAAATATTCGATTAACAATGCAATAGTGTTTTCAATATAAAAATTCTAACACTATTTATAATTATTTAAATTAATTTGTTCATCTTATTATATTAGAAAAAAGAAGTAAAGAAAATTTTCATCAATACATACTAATAAAGAATTATAAATGAAACAGATTAAAGATGCTTTTGAAAGTAATGATATCACCAAAATTATAAGCCATTTAAATATTGTTATTATAATAAATTAATTTTTATTGACCTATCGTATTAATATAATTTTATGAGTCGTATTTATCTTGTGTTTCGATTCAGCTTTAATTTATTTCGATATTAAAGGGATCTGTCGTTATGAAGGGATATTTTACTCGTCCCCCATTCTGTGTAGTAACGTCTGCGCGATGATTCTCGCAGACTTTTGTTTGCCAACCAGCCAGACGCAAATAGAAACCTAAATGAATATACGTGTGAATTCCTCTCGTTGCGCATTCATCAATTGTAACCAATTAAGAGGTTCTGCCAGAATACACTGGAATGATGCGACTGCGTATGCATTGCAATTTTTTGAATGCTAACATATTAAAACCCAATCAATTTCTATTCATACGAGTGCGCTTTTTATACTCAGATTTCAGATCATGAAGATTCTAGTTGTAGCGAATGTGAGACTGATGGAATGAGATAAATGGAATGTTCGTTGCCATCAAAGATAATAAAATCTAAGCCAATACTGAGATTGTGAAACAATTTTTGTTTATAAATAGGAAAATTGAATGACCTTGAGTATTAACGTAGACTCGAGTTAAACTGGAAAATTAAGCTTTCTTGACTTTTTGAAAAGTCAACTAGCGTGATAAATTATTTTTATATTCAATTTGATGAAAATTCAGAATGTTGCATAAAACAATAAGATAATTAACGAAGGTTTTTCAGTTATTAGAATTTATCGTTTATTTTATAGAAGATTAAGCTTGAAAAATTTCTGTAAATTTACATAATTTGATTAATAAAACAAATGAGTATTGATAGTTTAATAAAGAGATGAGTAAGCACCAGTGCATGTCTTATTATATATTTTACACCGTCTACTTTAAAGTTTACGGATAAAGAGCACAGCGGAAGTAACGCAAAAAGTTCGAGTTAACGAGACATTAATGGCGCAGGCTACGAGAAAATGTAATATTTTGTTAAACTAATGCTTTCCTTTAAATACCTTGTGAAGAGCTTTATAAAAATTTCATCTGTGTGCTTCTTCTTTCCCGTATTTTCTACATTATAAACTTATCGATAAACTATTGTTAAAGCTCTAGAATTGTGTTCATTAGCTGGGATCTTAATTTCCAAAGATTTATTCCTG